TGGTGACTTGTGAGCTACCATGTTTACTGTGCTCCAGGCATCATGGCAGGGCTTTCAATACATTGTCTTGTTTCATCTACCCAATGGTAAGACTGATAGGTGTAATCCAGCCTCAATTTTACAGATGCAGACATTAAGTAAATTTTTATTTTACCAAGTTAGGAAGAAGCAGTACCAGGCTTTGAACTTAGATCGCTCTGACTCTCCAAATCAAAAACAAAAAACCTTCTACCAAGTTAACAACCATACAAATAAGAGAATGTATTCTAACTAGTCTGCTCATGACCAAAGATGGGAAAAAAAGAGAAAAAGATCGATTTCCTCAACACAAATGTAAACATGAACACGAAAGGCTTATAATAAAACAATTTCAAGCTATGTTAGAGACATGGTATTAACCTGACTCACACCCAACTTCTGATAACTCCTCATGGGGTCTTTGAGTCACTAGAGACTTGGCTATACTTTCCTGCAATGGTTCTTACTGGATCATGGAGAAGAAGTGAAATTCCTGTCAGTTTTACTATTTGCTACCAATTTTGATAAATAATCAACAGGGGAAGAACAGACATTCATCTTAATCGTTAAAATGAATGTTTGTCATTAATTTTGAAATGTCAGTTATCCATGTCCTATCTCTCGCCTTGATGACTCACATTGGGGAAATAAGTGACTGCCTATGCAGTGGTCCTAAGCCATTCCAGCATTGCCTCTTCATGTCTAGCCTAAGCCAGCCCTTCTGCCTTTCATCTATCCCCCTTATCCATTCTCCTCTTCTTCCTCTACTCTTCAATTAAGTTTAATTTATGCTCGTTTTTATTTTATTTGTTTAAGGGAACTGTTTTAGATTTAGTCACTTAAAATTCACTTGAATTTATCTAGGAATCAACTTGATTCACATATGATACTCTAGCAAAGCATCATGGAAATTTTTACAGGGAAATAACAATTGAATTTCTTACATTGCATCAATGATGTTGCCAACTCTGTGTTGATAAGCTCTACGGTACAAACAGTTGCGTGTATGAAACATGTCATATAGATTCCCAACCTCCTGCAGGAAAACATGAAATAAATATTAATGTGGGACCAGATTTTGTTACGCTTGTTAGTAGGCAAGTAAATAAGACAAAGAAAAGGGGTGGTGGCAGACAAGAAGGCTATGCTCAAGGGCTACTTCATTAAAATCCCTGAGCCCACTAAAAAAATGACAAGGCAGATTAGTAAAACTATTCATTGGCTTACAACTTTCATTCTTAGTAAACCAAAACCTACTGAGTGTTTTAACTCTGTGGCAGGTTCTGTTTTAGGCATCTTAAATATATTTAACCTTCCCAATAACTCTAGAAGTTAGGCATTATTATTCTAATACTCTTTATTCTCAAAAGAAAGACTTTCTATAGGATAATACTATACTACTCTTTAGCTACCTGACTCTAATCTATATATCGATAGCAGGGAATTAATGATTTTAGCATTTTATCTATTATGAAACACTAATATAGTGGTTAAGGAGGAGACTTGAGCCAAACTTTCCGAGTTGAAATTCCAGTTCTGCCATTCATTAATTGTACATCCTCTCTGTGCTTCAATTTGCTCATCTGTTAAGTTGGATAATAATATCTATTTCATAGGGTTGTAAGGATTGAGCTAATCAATCTAAAACACTTAAAACAGTGCCTAGCACAACACTCAATAAATGTCTGTTGCAATTTTATTATTATTTAACAATGCAGTAGAAGTGAAAAGAGCCTTACGACACTTACAAAGGTTAAGCATGAAGTAAAGAGATTGACAACTTACCAGGTACTGATTTTTCCAAATTATTGAACGGTTATTTCTAGATTTCAAACTAGGGACTACACTTTCACTGTTGTTCCTCTGACATAGCTTACCTTGTCTCTAGTACAAATATGCAGCATTTTATCTACTTTACAGACACGGGCAAACGTAATATAGCGTTTGTGATCAAAATTATTTTGGATTCCAAGATGATGGCAGTCCCTAGAAAGATTCCAAAGCAGAGAGACAAAATTTTTCAACAAGAAAACTGTACCTTAATTATTAATACTAAATTTATATATGGATTTTATTTTTGTTTGCTTAAATAAAAATTGCATATATTTAAAGTACAGAATGATTTTAACCAAATTTTCTGAAGTGTTGAGTACATACCTGGCAAAATAATCCCATTTGTCCACATCAATGCCATTTTTTTTATTGGCCACTATCTCATAAAGGAAGCTTTTCTCTATAGGACGCCCTTTGTATGGCCACTAGAAGACAAGACAATCCATGGAAAGTTTTAGGATAGGAACCAAGTCCATTTACAAGCAAAACAAAGCAAATGTATGAATCAGAAAATTATAAACAGATGCTTGACTGGGAATGTGAGATAAGTTAAAAGATTCTACTCTTTCCTTCTTATATTTAACTCCTAAATTAGTAGAAAAAACAAATGCTAAGGTATATGTCCTGTTAATACTAAACTTTTTTGTGCCATTGAAGGGGTCCTAACTCTACTACACTGTCCATAAACAGTAAGCTTTCATGTTTTCTCGGTTTAAAAGTTTTTAAAAATATGTGATCTAATTATGAACTAGTAAGAATATTCCTTATGTGCTAATGCTTGAATTTGTACGTGAAATTATTTGTCAACTTCTTTTTCAATAATTAAAACAAGATCAAAAAGGAAACAAAACAGATTTCCTTCTAAGCTAATTCAACTTTTTTCTGTCTTCATATATCTAAATATTTCAAATATGTTCATTTTAATGGATAAACAAGACACATACTTTTACATATTCCAAAATAAGTTACTTTCAGTTTCTATATAAAATACTACATACATATTCATTATAAAAAATTTATATATATATTTTAATTTTGGGGGGGTAACGTCTAAAGAACTCAGTTAAGAGGTAAAAAAAAATATACAAGCCTTTCAGTGTTTTCATTACTCAGTAGAAATATATAACATTTTATCATTTAGTCCCTCTAAAAGAGCCAAACGCCCTTCTTTAAATAGCTTTGAAGGAATCAAGAAAAGACCATGTGAAAAGTACTAGTCACTTCAAATTAAGTTATACGCAAACTTACCAAAGACGCTTTGGCTGGTTGTTCAGGTGGTCCTGCAATTAGTTCCTTGATAAAGCAAATATCGTCCTCAGGAATGAGGCCATACTTTTCCATCACAGCTCTGAGTCCATTAGAATTAACTAGGTGCTCAAACATATCAACTGAGCCCTGTTCATGCTAGAAAAAGTCAGCACAACACAGTCTGTTATAAACTCTAGGCCGCTAGGGACCCCGATTATCCAAATTATTCTCAATTCCAGGTAATTCAGAGGTAAGATTCTATTGAGTGTTTTTG